AAGGAAGGAAGGAAGGAAGGAAGGAAGGAAGGAAGGAAGGAAGGAAGGAAGGAAATGAGAAAGAACAAGTGCAAAAAGGAAGAATGAAACAAAACAGAAGAAGCTTCTGATTTTCTTTACAGCATTTATAAGTACAAATTATAAGTACAAATGCAAAATTACCTCTTACTCTATGGTTACCCCCCCCAAAAATCTCTTTTTTTCTATAATCTATTTTTTGCAATCATCAAAACCATAAATCATCAGTTCATTTTTTTCTGTTACTGTAAAAAGTCTATCCAGTCAGCAGTAAATAGAGATATTGCCTTTTCTCTAATCCAAGAAGTCCTTGGATCTTAGAGCCAGTTTTGTGGGTCTGTGTTTTAAGCTGACCTTTTCCAGGCTATTGGGAGAAAAATAATATTCAGTGGCCAGTGTGACTGGCCCAGCTTTTCCCTGCTTTTGCAAAAAAAAAGCTAAAACGTTTGACGAAAGGTTGGGGTTAGACTGGATTTAAATGCAGTTCCACATCTGGATAAAAGATGATACTGATGAAAAAAAAAGTCGGTTTTCCCCCAGCAATTGGGGTTAGTTCCATTTCCGATCCCCCGATTCAACTCTAATTGCATAAATTGCACAAAATATATAATATTAAATTCACGGAGAAAAATCCATCTAGGGGGTCGCTCCGAGTCGACCACGACTTGATGGCATGTAATCCAAAATATAATTCAAAACAGCATCATTTGCGCCTAAGGAGGAGGTGATGTCATCTTCTTCGAGGATGTTAGATTCGGGTCTCTAAAAATAACTGCAAGTGGCTTCAGGGGTGGGCCCTGCAGATTTCAGAAGAATAAATTAAAATAAATCAAAACACCTCTCTTAGGGGGCAAGGAAACAATCTTCATGACCAGAGCGAACTTTCTGAACTCTTTAACGGCCGACCCGTCTCTATGGCAGACCGCAAAAGGCTTGGCACGATCTTGCCCTTTTGAATAAGGGACTGTGGCTGTGTAACTTGTGGAGTGCATCACATTACATAGAAAACTAGTGTAAGACTAGTGCAACGTCTGTGTCTGATGGATGACAACTCCCATCAGTCTCAGCCAGCCGGGCCATGGGATAGGAGTTGTAGTCCAATTGATCTGGCAAACGCCTGTTGGAAAAAGCCTGGAGCAGAGTTCTCAGTTGGAACGTGGCTTTCCGGAGGCCCCGCTAACTCAGTTTGAAGCTGGTCCTGGCTGAAATCAGTCCAATCTAGACTACATTTTTATCCACAGCCCATGGATTTCAGCAGGATTGAAGGTCTTCCCTTGGCTTGGATCCCTCCCCTTGGTTTTGCTTTTAGCCAGCATAAGTCGAGTTAATTCAGTGGTCAGTCGCAGAGGAAAGCAGGCAAGGAAGGTGGTCCCATACTGGGGTCAGTCTAGATGACCTTGGCGGGACTCATCCAAGGCTCTGATTCTACAACGCCCAGATATGTTGGCTGGCCTGCACACTGCAGCTAACCCCTTTATTTAAAGACCTCCCGGCTACGTTCACACGACGCACTAAGCTGGATTCGACGTAACCCCCGTTAGCTTCCTCGTTGCCGGTTTTTGCAGCTTGGCGAGCAGCGTTCGTTTGCAGCATCACCCCCGAACTCAGACGATGCGTTCATGCAGCCACCAGCTCAGCCACGGGCGGGTCCAGTTCTCTCCCCATCCCTTTGAACACGGCAACATCTGGATTGCTTGCTGGAAAACAACTGGGGCACTCTTTCGTAACCCAAACTTAAAAAAAAAAGTTGCCTTTCCGAATGGGAAATGGCACGTGTTTGGCACATGAGTTCCTCCAACTCCCCTCCCAAACTTTCCTTTTGATGACTGAATTCCAGCGTGGTTGATCCTCACTGCCCAGGCTTTGATCTTCCAGCCCTCTGTGTCACGGATCCAACTGGGTTTCCTTCTAACCGTCTTTTTCGAGTCATTAAACCGTTCCTCCCTGCATGACAGCGCCACAAACGAGGCTTAACGCAGTTTTTAAAAACATGACTTCCCCCCCGCTCGAGAAAATACCCCAAACTCAGATGGAGGTGAGGTATTTCCACTTATTTTCATCTGCGCTTCCTCCCCGTTCCCAAAACTCTTCCGTGCAACATCCCTTTGGCTATCAAAAGTTGTCCACCCCATTTCCAAGGTCATCTTCCCTTTTCCAATTTTGCCATCAACTTGAGCTTTAAAAGCTTTGCGGGAAAATTAGCCAACGTTTCTCCATTCTTCTCTTCTTTGATTCCTTCCTGGACTCTCCAAGCCCTAAATAAACCATCATTGTTGCCCATGGTGATAAACTAGATGTACTCATTTGTTTTTCCTTGCACAATTATTTCTGCACCTCTAATTGGCTGGATTTTCTTTTGCCTTCTCCGTGTTAAAGAAAAATCCCATTGGAGTGATTTCTTGAATAATGACGGGAGAGTGTGTTTTGTTGGGCGCCGTGGCTTCTAAATCATTAGAGGAATCAGGTTTGAACATTGCTTACATGGGCGTCCAAAGCCAGACCAGGAATGCTGCTCCCTACTTTTCAAAGGGACCCTAGCTTTGCTCCGCTTGAAATGTGCCATTTTCGGTTTTTTAATTCTTGTTACCAGTCATGAAAACACAAAATGTTCAGTTTTCAAACATTGGGGAAAACTATTTTAAAGTGGAGTCTTGGTTTGGTGGGGTGTGGTTTTCCCTATTTAAATGGAAATGCTGTTGGCAACAGACATCAAACAAAATCATTCTCTTGGCCAAGTTCTTTGCATGGTGGGTTGTGGTCAGCCTTTCAAGGCAGATCAGACTAGGAATTCAGTGTCATGTAGTTCAATACTACTTTTGTTGTAAGGTTATAGTAACAGAATCTTGCAAGTCTGAATTCGCTTCTCTTCCCCTCCCTTTATCTTCGTGAGAACTAGGGAGGGTGTCAGAGTCTGCA